GAATCGAAAGTCGTGAAAGCAAGTGGACGTCTTTTCTGTTTTTTTTCAATTGCACCTTCAACGTTATGAAGAGATAATTAAATTCCAAAGACAAAGAAGATGGAGAAGAACAAGGGGAAGAAGAAGAAAAGGAACGAATGATAGAAATTGTGTGATATACCAAACACACAATGTAGAAGAAGTTGAAGAAGGGGGAAGGGAGAAGGGAGAAAGAGAGATGGATGGGAGAAGAGGATAGATGGAGAGGTACGTGTAAATATGAATAAAGGAGGTCAATCTTTCTCGTGTACAGTAAAGTAAAGTAAAGTAAGTAATAGGTAGTAAGTAATACTAGGTAGGTAAGTGTACCTGGTGTGGTGTACCTAGTACTTGCGTATTCAAAAGCCCCCCCAAGCCAAAAGCATGTAAATTATTACAGTCGAGTAAGATTTATTCGTTCTAGCCCCAATTGATCCTGGTTCGATGCTTTTTCTGGAAAGATTACGCAAGGGAGGATTTCCCTTTTGCTTCAAGTTCGAGAGGACCGATAATACGTGACTACTAGGTACCTCGTAAACCCAAGGTCCCGCCAGCTCGGAATTGCCTTGTGAGTTGCTGTTATTATTGAGGATCTTTAGCTTCCCCCAGATAAAGTTTGATAATACGAGACAATCAAGCCCTTGAAAGAGTGGCACAGTTAAATGGTAACGTGCATCTACAGTAGAGCAGGAGGTCGACCAGTACCTTTTGTGAATACAGTATAAAAAGACTTCAAGATCCAATGGAGAAAACATGATGTTGGTGTAAGTACTAGGTAATCACCTGATCTACACATACTTGATACTATTTGACGATTTTGACAAACAATGATAGATGCTGTCAAGAACCTACTAGGTATATAAGGAGAGGCTTCTAATACCTCACATATATGAGCAGAAAAGGTCTAATAAATACTCCAAGATTTTTATAAGTTAGTATTTTATTGACTATATATAATTTCAGTATACGAAGTAGATTGGGCATTACTCTGTTTGGAAACCATGTCCAGATGTATGCCCAGATATGGCCCAAACATCACGATCCGCTGTCAAGTAACCTTTTACTTCGTAGATGTCAGTTGAAAGTTTCCTGTAATTAATCTATCTAGTATCTAGTCTGCCTCCACGGCAGTGGCTCCCAGAGGGCCAGCGGAGCGTCATTCTTTGTCTACATGATATAATTATCTGACAGTATCAGTAACTATACTACTATCATGAGGGCAATCATGAGGGCAAGCCCCCAAACCCCCATAGCTCGCTGCGCTCGAATTCACTTCATCTAGACCCACGGCCACGACCACGACCGCAAGGCTAGAACCAAGGCATCAATTTTCTTACTTCTCTCTGCTCTTCTCTCTTCTCTCTTCTGTCTTCTCTCTTCTCTACCCCACCCCACTTGACTTGGACCTCTCGAGGACCTTTCACTCATATCAGCTACCACCCGTGCCACCACCCTCTCTCCACCCACCACCCACCACCCACGCTTAATTTTTGAAGCTTTATTCCCTTCTAGTAACATCTCCCATCCTCCACCTTTCCATCTCGTCACCCTCAATCATCCCACCAACGCAACAAAAACCCTCCAAAAATCAAAAAAGACCGCTCTCTTTCTTTCTTGTGTTCGTTGTATCACTCAACTTCTTACCATTCACTTACCGCTCACCATCAATTTTGTTTCTCCAAATCATTGGAGCTTGTATTATCTATCTACTATTTTGATCTAACCTTTTCTTCGAGACTCAAAGAAAAGAATTGATCTTTGGAATTACAACTTCACGCGTCAAATTCTTTCTTGATCTTCGTATCTTATTAATGGAAACCACGGCTTTGCGATTTCTTTAATCATGTCTTTCTTTGGATTTGATCCCAGTCAAGCTCCTCATGAGAGGGGCCATAATACTGCTGCTCCTGGTTTTGGTCAACATGCGGATCCATTTGCAAGTCTTTCTGGCACAGGAAACGATAATGAAGCGTACGTTTCGTTTGGACATTCTTCCATTTGACTTTGATCGAGATCGAAAGGCTAATATTTCTACCCTGCAGATTCGATTTCGAGGATACATATGATGGTTTAGGAGATCAGCTTCAAGAAACCGGCGATGACTTCAATGATGATACCTTTGGTGGTGGTGCAGGCGATTCTATTGCAAGCAAGCCAGTTGGAAACAACTTTGACTTTTTTGGACAAACGGCAAAGGTCTCCGATGCTATCAATGAGGAACAAATGCGATACACCCGCCAACAACCAGTAGTATCTAGGACAACTCCAGCCGCATCTTCATACTCTCAACAACATACGTCAAGACCCGCTAGAACTGGCTATGAGAGATATCAAGAGTCGGAATATGTTCCTGATATGCAGGTGGATGCAAATCTTTGGGGCGTTGCACCAAAGCAAGCTCCAAAAGCCGCCACTCCTCCAGCTGCCGGTACTTCTGCACCGAGCCGAAAGATGATGAGTTTGGAAGAGGTTGAAGCAGCCATGAGAGCTCAAGCTAAGAAGCCATCGCAACCTCAAGTCCCTGTTCAGCAACAACCAATGCCACCATCTCAACCACAATATCAGCAACCCCCGCCACAGCAATATCAAAATTTCCACCAACAAGCGCCATTACAAGCTCCACAACAGCAACAGCAGCAATTCCCGATTCAAGCCAGTGCACCACCTCAATCGGAGCAACGCCAGCTTCCTGTCGAGCAACAAATTCACATTTTGCAACGTCCCCAAGTTCCAACCAGCCAGGCAAATGTCCCATCTATCCCAATCCAACCGGCACATATGCAAAACATGAACCGATTTCCCAACCAACCCCACGGTGGGCAACGTGGTCACCATCATCCACATGCTTCTGGAAATCGACACGTTATCACTCACCCACAACAGTTGGTAAACTTATCCGAAGAAGAGCGGGCCGCATTTTTGTTGGAAGATGCCAAGAGAGCAAAGCGAAACCACAAGATATTTTTGTTGTCGAAGGACAATGGCTTGATGACGCCCCAAGACAAAAACTTTATTACTCGTATTCAATTGCAGCAATTGGTCACCGCTACTGGGAATCCAAATGAGCACGGCATAGATTCTTCTCTTTCCGAGGACTTCTATTATCAAGTCCATAGCCAGATTCGAGGTGGACCGCGCCAAAACCCACATCAACCTTTGAGCAACTTTGCACAAACATATCTTTTCCAAACTGGCAATCGTCATAATAACATGCGAAGACAAGCTCGTGGTGGCGACAACCATGTACAACGTATGGAACAGCAAGTGCAACGAGCTGTGGAGGCTGCAAAGAACAAACCAAAGAACAAGCAATTGGTCATTGAAGGAAGTTTAGGAAAGATCTCATTCAGCAACGCAAAGACACCTAAGCCGCTGTTAAACATCAAACGAACCGATAGCAATGAACCAAGACCTGGAAATTCACCCAACCCTCGCAAGGCCAACCTCGTCAGTGGTAGCAATAGAAAGTCTATATTGACTGATATCGAGAATGTTTACAACACATTAATGGAGCTGGAGGACCATGAACGCTCAAAACCCAGACCATTGGGTCATGAAGAGATCAACCCACAAATTGCTGGTTTGAATCAAGACTGGAATGAACGACAAGAATTTCTCAACAGGCAATTATGGCGTAATTTGAGGATTCATGAACCAATTGGTGCAACTACCGTTCATCCTTTCATTGCCTTCCTTTCATTCAACAAGGGCAAAAAGGCAATTCCTCGAGTTTTCAGACATATCTCTGATGAGCAACGCGCTACCATCTTGACCATGATTATTCTTCATCTTGATAAACTTGATGTCGTTCGATTGGCTGTGCCTAGCCCTGACGGAATTCAACTCAGTGCTGAGACTCGTGAAAACATTGATCTCTTCCAAGTCACAGTCATGTCAAGCCTTTTTGGATTCCTCCACGATGCTGATTTCCAAATTACTACCGGTGTTTTGGGACTTATCCTTAATCTTAATATTGATTTGATTGCACGTACTAGAATTGGTCTAAGTCTGTTGACCATGATTCTCAGTCGGGCTGAGATCACCAAGCAAGCTGGAGATGTTGATGAGCGTGGATGGAATGACTGGTGAGTAATGTCCTACCCTGCATTAATACAGCCCTAACATATTTCTTAGGTTATCCACTCACAATGCATTTTTCGATGCTCTTGAGCCTACCCTTCCAGAGATTTTCCCTGGTACCGTCAACACCGGCGAAGATGTATATGTTTGGCAATTCCTTGCCGCCATTGGTATCGGTGCCAATCCTGAACAGCAACAACGTCTAGTTATGGCTGTCAAGGATCGTGTTATGGAAACTGTTGGTCTTGCAAAGACGTTACCTCCAGCTATGTCTATTCAACGACTCGCAAATGTTAACCTCTTCATGCGTTCTATCGGACTGGATGTTGAGTTACTCGCATGAATGATGGATTGAGGTTTATTTCTTTTAACATTTACGCATATTGAATTTCTTCTCTACTACGATATTTGATGGTTGAACCACATGAAAGGAGCTTGTTGGTATTGATTATAGTGGTATGCTACATTTTGCTTCCGCGTTTTTGTTGCGTGGCGATCACGAAAGTATAGCATTGAGCGATCTCTCTCTAGAGAACTGATATTTATGAATGGGAGCGTCTCACTGGATGGTGGATTACAAAAAATGAGTACTATTATTATGATTTGGGAAGAAGGCGGCTATGGTTGGTGGCCAGCATTATTCTGTCTAGGGGCAGGATGGGATACTTCAATATCTGGATTTTTTTTACGAGATGAAGGACTACAAGCGGATTGAGGATACCATGATAGTAAATGCAAACAAAATTTAACGAGATGATCATTCATGGCATTGGCCTGCGAACAACCTTGAACTGACAATTGTAACATTTGCCATTTTTCAGGGAGCTAGGTCGTCAGCCCAAGGGCAAAAGGCTTGGTTTTTTTTCTTTTGGGTGATATTCTGCTTCATCCGATCTCTCCAATTCAAAGATAGTTATTGCCTATTACTGTATTTTCATTATTTATACAAGATTGTAGTTTCGTCTGATATGTACATGTACAAGCTTCCATCGCCCCACCATACTTCATTCGACATCTTCGATGTCATTGATATATATAAAAATGCCTGTCGCAATTTAAAAGAATCTTTCCGTTCATCTACAGGTAACAATCGAGACATCTCCAAAAAAAAAGTTGAACCCGGACTCAAAACATGGAAATCTAAATGTCGATGTTCAGACTTCCTTTCCATCACGCTTCCTCCACTCCCTTAGTGTCCGAATCCTCCTTGGCATTCCCTCTCTTATCCATGGTTTTCTCCTGACCCTTTAAGGTTTGCCAGCGCATGAAATAGCAGCAGAAGGGGAAGAGGAGAGTGTTGATTGCGACCCAGGCGAATAGGATGCCGAAGTTGAGACCGATGCGGGAGTGGAGATCGAAGAGGAGTTGACGACTGGCTTCGACGACTGGGGTTGGGGGGGGGGATTGTTAGTTATGGGTTAGGTGTGCTTGGATTGATCGTGATGTTTGATATGCATAAGGGGCTTGAATTGCTAGGAGAGAAGAGGGTTGTGTGAAGAGGTTTAATGTTCTGAAGGCTTTCAATACTACCATGAAAGCAATCGTGGAAATGGATTCGGTGATTAAATAAATTCAATGTGTTGGACAACATAATCGAACACTCTAATTGTCCCTCCCTCCCACTGACCAAAGACCAAAACAAAGAATTCAACTTACTATTATGCAACGGCCAAGCATACCCCCAATAGAAGAATCTCGGCGCCAAATCAATCGAGTAAAAGCTCGTCGAAACATTTGTGATGACCCAGAACACCAACCAAAGCGCAGTCCACGGCTGTCCGATAATCATAGTCACATTCTCACAGGCAATACCCAACGCGCCCATCCCTACCCAGTTGAGCATCCAGAAAACCACAAACGTGCCTTTTCCGTAGGCCGTGGCGCTTTCGACTGACGTTATAGATTTGTGGCCGGTTGAGAAGGGGATCTGGAAGGCGAGGGAAAGCAGGGAGTAGAAGAGGGAGAGGAAGAAGTAGGCCGCAACGGTGGCGAACCAGCGCCAGATAACCATTTGGTAGAAGTGGAGGGGTCGATGGCCTTGGGGGGTTATGTATTTTGTGTGGACAGGGAGGTAGAAGGAGAAGGAAAAGAAAGAGATGATGATTAGATAAATGAGACCGATGCTGACCGCTGGCGTAGCGACAGGCGGAGTAAAAGGTCGCAAATTGAAAGTCGAGAACCCGATAGCGGGCGAGATTGCCTGGGGACTATTTCGTATATTGGACAAGATGGCCGGATTGGCAGCCGCTTGATCCGCTACTTGTGCAGCCCATTGCTGGCCAAACATGGCGGTCACAGAGGACTGGAATTGGAGTAGCTGGGGGGTCACATAGTTGGCGTAGGTCGTCTCGTCTCGTGCTTGTACGTAGACTATTTGTGCAATTCCCTTGGGATCAAAAGTCGAGTTGCCGTTTTGGACGGCATCTTGCAGGAGGGCTGTTGCGTTTGCATTGATTATTACTGCCTGGGTGTTGTTAGTATGAAATAATCGTAAGCACTTCGAAAAGTCTATATTGTTCGGAAAGAGTCCAATGTGTCTAATCTTCAGTCTGGACTACAGCCTGATGGAGAAATTTCTCGCTTTGAATATTTGCGAATGCTTAGATCATGTGAAATGCTCAATACCACTCTGACATCGTAGATGACCTCGACATTCTCAAGCTTCTCACATTGTTGACCTGTAATCCAGACACCGAAGACACCGCGCCAAAACACAACAGAAAGGAATCACACAACTCACAGCCCAAGCTCCAAACTCCCAAACCCTCCTTCTAACCTCCATTGGATCATATCCAAAATCACTAGCCGGTAAACTTCCCCACCCCAGCGCACCTTTAGGAGCAACCAGTGCCTCGGCAGCCTTCACAATCTCGGGTCCAACTATTGGAGTTGTGTCTGTGTAAGGTGCAACTTGTGCATCGAAATCTACTACCCAGACTACAAGCGACGAGAGGTTTTTCTCGACGTGGAAGAGGACACTCCAGTAAATAGAAAGAATGGACAGGATTGCTATGGAAAGGATGACGGCTGAATGGTGTTAGTGAGAGGGAGCAAGATACCAGACCACATGTTGTCAAAAAGCACAGCGATACCGAACTTGAATCTATAGCAGAGCAGAGTAGATGCAATCATGCACCACTATTTTCGCAAAGACTTTCAGATAACCAAGATCATCTACCCATCCTGAATTCTCATGCGATTGAACTACAATCTAGCAATCGAAAACCCGCATACCCAATTTCTACGCATCCAACAAACACACTCAAGGGCCGAGAACTAGAAGAAACATACTCGTAATAATCCATTTCTTGATAACATGTTTCCTCGTCGCGTTCAAATCACGATGCCAAAATCCCACCGGACGAGTATCTTGCTCCTCTTCATCATTCCCCATTTTGGGCTTTGGTGTTTGGGAATCTTGGTTATCTGTTCCAAAATGAGTGTCGGATGCGGGATATCGATGTTGAACAGATGTGGAGGTTCTTGATAATGATACAGGTGAAATATTCAAAGAAGTTTACTATTGTCGCTAGAAATTAAGAATACAAAAATCTCACATTGCCTCCTGGAGATTGGAAATGACTAGAATCATATCAAAACTTTGCAATCTACGATAGAAGGAAATCCAATGATCGATCATGCTTGGCAGGCATTGTTAGGAGAACTTTCCCAATACGACACTTATCTAAGGAGCCAATAAACAATCTACAAAATGACAATTGGTGTAGAATCTCGATATCGATGCAATCGGATTCTCATCAGAAAGATACAATTATCAATGATGTCACTACTATATAGTTGATGTGATGTGATGGACGTGCGAGTGATCCTTGACCTTTGTTTGCTCCATGAATATCGTATGTCATCGAAGGAGAGCGGTTAATAAGTGGTTCGGCATGGAAGAATTGTCATCAATCGAATGAATCGCTTTGTCATTGACATTGACATCAAAATCATTGGATTTGGATATATATATGGGAATCCCGCATGACTTCAACGTCGCATCCGGTATTACTCCAGAGGACGTTGAGATCTTGTTTCTAGAAAAAAAAGGGCTGAACCATTAAGAGGCTAGAGATTGTCTGTTATTCAAACTTGAATTTTGGAGTTCAGAAGAAAAGATCCTTCCAGACTCCGAAGACATCTTGGATGGTGGAGGGTCACCAGTTGGAGTGTGTGTACTAGTGTAGGTATCGCACTGGTGTTCGGCTATTCCTCCTAGTCGCGAGGGGGTAACCTTATCAAGCTTTTCTATCCGATCCGCAATCAAGCTCTTGATCGTGATTCCGTTGCCAAGAACATGCATTATGGTAGACACAAATTTGGTAGGGCGATTCGTCATCTCAAAGGGTTGAAAATGAAGATGGGACGAGATGTTACACTCGTTGACGGTTGTTATACCATACTTTTGTGACCATCCGATGTGAACCTCAGGTCCCTCGGTCCCTTGATGGTTCATGCAATGTTAAACGGTTAATCTTTGATTTTTGGCTATCGTCCACTACCTAACAAACATCGATCTGATATGAGACATGGAAATCATCAATATCTCCACTAGATCCTAGCTTATGAAATATAATTATCCAGATTGACACAAAGATTACGAGTAGATTGTAATCAATTTAACTTTATTTTCCCGCTTGTTAGTGACGATGCAGGGTAAAGACGGGATGATTGACCAACATGATGTACATGTTGAAGATATGGATGTGCCATCAATACTTCAGATAGATTACGGGTACTGCCCTACCCATATTACAACCCAAAGTAGACGCGAACGAGTTTCATTACCAGTTGCATCTGAACTCTGCGACATCGTCATGTCAGATAAAAGGCAAGGCATAGTGTGAAAGCTTGCAAAAATATTGAGAAAGGTCACGTGTGATTACCCCAGACAGGGTTTGGAGACATCGCTTGGAATCAGATCTGACATCTGCGACAAGCCTCGTCCCATATCTACGCCATCATATCAATTTATTCAATCACGAATGTTTCTTGAAGCTTGATATCTTGATGCGATGAGACGGTTAGAGGACTATCATGCTTTCGATGTCCCAGCTTTTGATGGCGGTTGACTTGACGCGAATGTCCTGTCATCATTCATCTCATCTTCTTCAGATATGTCAGATTTGGACCCTGAATGGTTGTCAAAACGGCCGTTGAATGGCCCGGTATCATCACCTGAGACTGTTGGTGAAAAAATCCGAGTGTCAAGGGAGCTATTTACCATGCAAGAACCAACTTCATCTCATGTACCATGGCCAATCCGGATAGCCACCGACACATCTTCTAGACTTCAGACTTACGTTCGATATACTAAAACGTATTAGTCCAGTGCTCAAAGATTCTTTCATAGCACATGCTTCGACAAGCAGGATTCATCAGATGAAAATTCAATCCTTGACCATGTTCTTCTCCCTGTGTGGTCTACGAATTATTTTAGAAATCCACAAGTGTGGAAACTCCGGGTAATAGGGAGGAAGCATGCGACCTCGTCCACGTTGTCTAGATCTTATTGAGGGACTGAAGCGTTAATGATTCAAGATATAAGATCTACCAAGTCGCCAAGTGAATGCCTTTTTTCCCTCATCACCTTTGCAGCCTCTCTTTCAGCTCTATCTACATTCTCTTCTTGTTCAGTTCTGAGAACTTTAACTCTTATACATTCTTTAAATCTTAACTTTTACAATAACTTTACATTCAACTTAGGCCGGTCCTTCTTTTTACACTTACTTTAGTCTATTGCCATCCTTCTACAAGTTGAAAATTTTCATCGCTATAAACTTTCATTACCAATATCATCATCATGAAGTACGAAACCGCAACCATTTTGATCGCCGTTCTCGGCTTGGTATCTGCTGCTCCCATCGCAGAACCAAAGAATACATTCAATCTTCCATCCATACCAAAGCGAATGCTAAGAGGACGTGAGGTTCCTCAAGAACATTCCCACAATCGATTCCTCGATGGTGTTCGTGTCAATTTAAACATCAACAATCCAAACAAAATCCAAGATCCAGTCTTTGGTCTTTTGGGTAATGCTGCAGCCATGAAAGGAGCTGGAACAATTACCAATCCCGATTGTCTTCACCAAGCTACCGCTGATCAAGCTTTCACCAATGCAAAAGCGGCTAATAATGTCACCGGTATGGCTGATGCATTAATGTATGCAGCACTTGAAAGAAATACAGCATCAGTTGGTGTTGCATCTGTCATTTGCAACGAAACTGCCGTCAATCCCGAGATTCAAGCCGTTCAACAACATCAAGATCCAGCCTCACCAAACGCTGCCACTACCAATAAAGCTATTGTTCTTTCACTCGCTAAACAACTTGCTTCTATTGGGGCAGATCCTCAAGAAGCTCTTCTTTCGGGTACATTCGCACCAGGAACTATCGGCGATCCAACTGCTGCTGGCAATACTTGTGACGACGAAGCCGATTCACCTGGTTGTATCTTTACAAAAAGTCTTATCGTTAACGATGCCACTGCCGATGAAATCACCGCAGCTGTCGCAGGAGTTTCGGCAAATTCAACTTCTACCGCTACTATCAGTTCTGTCTCCTCGAGTAACTCAACTTCAAACTCTACAGGTAGCGAATGTGCTGCCGCAGTAACAAGTACAATTACCGCCGTCGCCGCCATCGCGACGGGCTCATCAATGGCGTCTCTCGCTTCCGTTGCTTCAGTAGCAGCAACCTCAGTTGCGTCAGTAGCCTCTTCTGCATCTACTGGAACCAGTGCCACAGGAACAAATGTTCAAACCTTCACCGGAACACTAGGTGGAGCACCTCCCCCAGTTGTTTCCTCTGCAGGTGATCGTCCTTTCTCGGTTAACGGAGATTCATTTGTGGGTGAAGGAGCAGCACTTCAAAGGAGTTGTAGCGTACAACATAATGCCTGTGCGAGTGCTGCTAATAGTGGAAGCATCGCGGGTGGAGTGGCACAATGTGAAACGCAAGAGACGGCTTGTAATGCTGCATCCGGAGTGGCGAAGAAAATAAGACGACAGGCTATGATGTTTTAGATGGAATATGGAGCTAGCTTGAGTTATTAATACTGGTGGATGGGGTGGTGTGATGGTGGATATGTCCATGATATGATGTAAGAGGAATATTGTGATTGTGAAATCACGGAGATTGTAGGAAAGAATGAAGATGAATGAACATACACGAGATGATATGATATGATATGATATGGGAAGAGCGAAAGGAAGGTTGACAAGTTGTGCGGCGTTCAATCTGTAATGATATAGGTATAAGAATATACAATTTATACCAAACAAACACTTTTGAGATTCCGTTGACAAATTATCTAACACCTCCCGAGTTTGATGTCATTACATGGAGGAGATATACTTTTCGTTGGAGAAAAAACAGGCCGCAATTCACCACTGATAAAGCCTTTTAACAACCTAATTGTTCCATTTCAATTTAGAGAATTGAATGTTTAGATAATTTCATGAAACAATAGTTGTTCAAGGATTTATTCCATGTTATCAACTTTTGTGATTTTATTATAGAATTTATTAGGGCGATTAATTTTGGCCTCTTTTTCTCCAAAGTAGAGATATATTCAGGAGATCGAATTGTCCACAGGGATGTTGAAGATTAGATTTGACCGAATCATTTGTAAATAGAAATTTATGATATCATTATACATATACTAATTTTGAAAAGAGTGAAATATACACAGAATAGCAGAATCTTCAAATCATTATACAACAGCGCACCACCTAAACGTACCGCTGTGTATCAAAAAATATATGGTATCACCGCATCTCAACCTATTCATCCAACTCCTTTTCAAGTCCAGTCCTCAACATATTAGTTTTCGTTTCGCTCGTCCAGAATTGCCGTCTCATCACTGTGCTCAATTAAACACTTCCACTGCTTCCCTCACTCCCCTCCTTTTTTCTCCCTAAACTCTCGACTGCACCAAGATGCAATTCCTTGGCAATTCCACTTCTTGCGTTGTTTCCTGAGTTTGGAACTACCTCGGGATTCTGGGCATGTCCATAACCTGTTCCTGCTCCCTCAATTGTAACTTGTCGTTGAATTGGACCACCTTGTTCATAAACTGCCGTGTTTGCATCGACAGTATCGAAATGGATTGGTACAGTTTCATGTGCGAGGAAAAGATACCAGTACACACCGCCGCAGAAGACGCCACCGCCGACGATGTTACCGAGGAGGGATGGGATCAATGATTTCCAGATGTAGTAGTTTACAGTAAGGGGAGCAGGTGCTCCAAGGAAGATGGCGAGGGGAATGAAGTACACTGTGAGTGGTGACGCGTTAGTGGCTTGGACTAGTAGGGCTGGTGCCAATGACTTGGCAGGGGAATCATGCTTGGCGCCCGATTCACTTGCAAACATGCGAGATTCCATACACGAAAAGAAGATGGAAAGAAAATGATAAGGAAGTGGAGTACAAACTATTAGCAATAACGTGATCAGTTCCCAAACCGACGAAGCACATCACAGGAAACCAGATGGCGACGATTTTGGAGAGAACTTCGCGGGACGAGATGGCGAGAAATACGGCCATACAGACGAGCCAATTGCCTGTGTAATATCGTAAGTAGAGATTCTCGAAGCGTCGTTCATGTTCGTGTGGAATCGAAATGTTACACCGGAGAGGACAAACGTACACATAATTGCCTTGAGGAAAATTTGATGCCATTCTGGGGTAACTGCTTTTCCCTTTGCAAATGAGAGAGCTTCCGCTTTGTATGCTCCAGTTTCGAATGTGCCGCCATCTAATTGTCTATTAGCATCCGATAACCCACGGTTCCGATCGAACAAAGTTGAGCACGGATACTTACAACCAGTAAGGACAGCCATGAAAAACAAAGCTCCCGCCAAATTTCCGAAGAAACTGACAACCCAAGTCTTCAGCAAATCCAAAAAGCTACAACGTCTATGCAACAAAGCGACCACACTGTACATGCAATAACTTGTGAACAAATCGGCTCCCGTAAGGACAACCATGATCAATCCAACAGGGAAGACCATCGCAGAGATGGTACGGATAAGACCTGGAGCATTTGTTTGAAACCATGGGGAAGAATTGGTGGAGAGAGAAAGAGCGCATCCGAAAGAAATGAGACATCCTCCCATGAAAGAGTTGATGAACATTTTGTCAATTCTCATACGGGCTTTTTTGGCACCGATGCGCGAGACGAGCTCGGTCGTCTATCGTTGCGAAGCATGTTAGTTGAGAATGTGTGAAGCTCTGAAACGTGTATAAACTTGCCTGTGCTGGAGTAAAGGCGTCCATGGCTTGAAAATGTGACGAAAATAGCTTGTCAAGATGTGATGTGCCGAAACCAAAGCCAAAGGAAAAAGAAAGTTTTGTTTTAAGAGAGAATAAAACAATAAGAAAGAAGACGGCCAAGACATTTTGAATAACGGTTACCCGTCAGAAATGATTTGGAGATCTCGCCTCGCGGTAACCATTATTGTGAGATAAGACAAGGACCCATATCAAATTTCTCAAAAGTGTACAGGGCTAAAAGTCCTGAAGAGGCACAGTACATTTTGACGGTAATGATTATGAGCTTAGTCCCACAATTACCCCAGTAGAGAGAAACATCATTCGTTGAAAGTCTTGCCGATGGTAAAATACCCTAGTAACAGCTGCGGAGAACCATGCAGATATATTTCCTCAATTGACATTGGCTGTAATGGATATTTTCATTGAGCGCTAAGTATCTTTAAGTCACATTGAGTCCTCTCGAAGAATAAAGTAAGAAACAGATGGGTGTCATTTTGAAGCAATTTTTCGCGAGAAAACTCGCTAACGATGAAGGAGGTGAAAACTTAGATAAGAGATAGTGCGGGGGAAGACGACTATGGCAGTATAGCGTTGGCTATACTGGCGTACCAGCGCTATACTGGCGTAAATGATTCAGAGAAAGCGATGAAAAACCCGAAAAAATCATGCAACCAAACCGAACTTCTGTTTCTGTAAAAACCATGCGTCAAACACCCCTGGGTATTGGACCTTGGTCCATCAACTTGTGGGGCGGGAAGACATGATCCCTCTCCGGTACCTCCGCTTACCCGCCCCCGTCACTTTGCTTGTCGAAGTTCCCACTCGCATAGCCGGATTGAACGATGTACATGACACCAATTTCGACTCCTATCTATTCACAATATGAAAGAATCCACTGAAATCCAAAGAAAACGCGCGTGCGGCTCACAGTTCATGTGTTCAACTGACTGCAACGCTTGAAGATCCCCTGAAATTTTCATTTGTTGGTATCCGACAGTCAAAATCACTTGTCGGGTTCGCATTTCGATTTTGCCCTTGCACCAGTCCTTGCTGTCTATCATATAGTGGTGGAAATCGGTCGTCTATCCATATGAAGTAATTGCTTACCTGTCATGCAGAAACTTGCTGCTGGAAATCCCAACGGACCGGATATAACTGCCGTGTCGCTCTCGTAATCCAATACAGTCCTTGACATGAATCCACACCGGCGATTCGTCTTGCAAGTTGCCACCTCAGACCACTCAAGCATATTTAAATTATTGGGAAGCTGGCTGGTCCTCGGTAGGATAAAGCAAATTGGAACTGGCTGCATATCGGACATTCATTTCTCAAAATATATAAGTTCCGAGATTCGTAGGCATCGGTGAGAGAATAATGCGTGTGGATATTGAGTGAATCGTTTCGTAATCCTTTGATTTCGTCAAAGTAGGTATATAGCCTTGTCCAAACCGACGAATCGCAATCTACGCACATAGCACACAGCGCACAACAAGATAATCGCCAGATTGAGTCAGGACATCGTCCAGGTAAAAGTGTCCAGGCTTCGAAATTGTTTGGTAGAAAGCTTTGAAGAAAGTATCGGATCGGCAACTGAACAGGCTCGCGGATCGCAATGAAAGATTCGATAATGTGCGGATCGAATGGATATATATCAAGTTGCAATCTGGAAGGAATCATGAGAATCCTGAAGGTGCTATTGAGTTATCAGTATCGTCGTCATTCTCTGCGCATCTATGTATGGATTGTCAGTGATAATCTTTGAAGCTACTCGAGTGTGCTTAGCACAGCAAACGATGTATGAAGCTGGCAGATAGTCTGAGATCTCAACTCCCACAAACCTTGATACTTTCATACTTTGCATGCAATTCTCAGCAAATGAGTACTCATTGTCTCATGGAGAAACAGATTTTCTGGATTTGCTTCGATTCTTATGTTTTATTTGTTTAAAAAGTTCGAAATGAGATTATCTTGGGGATTTGACGACAATACCGAATCCCGAATACCGAACTTCTTAGGGGAAGCTTGGGCCGTCAATACCAAGAGTCTACTGTTGATACCTCAGAATACCTCGATATCACCCAGTTGAGTTGATTTCATTTGACCTCTACAATATCATGCGGGTATATGGTACAAATCTATCCGTGGTGGTTAGGTCTTGAAGAGTATTGTCATCAACCCAGCTTTGATAGGGAATGGAACATTTATGTATGGCCTACCCCTTCCCTTCACTACCGGGAACATGATTTTGATTATCACTGGTTTACAGCAATTTGGGATAAGATTCAATATTGAGAAGAATCGTTCGCGTTGAATATCTAAAACTAAAGTTCTCAAGTGCTGACAGATATGAACTTCATCTCGTCAGATCCATTAACCAGATTAGCACTTCAACATGTTCGAAGCTGCCATCCAAATGTTAGGTTTGGGTAGGTTTACTTGGGAAGTAGCGACACCACACAAATCATGGTACCTACTTCATTTCATCTGAATGATACTGTATATTCTTCATCCTTCAAGTTATTTAATTGCGCATTAGCACAATCGACCCCGAGTACAATTGCTGAAGCATTCAATAAAGAGATTGATATAATCGACCTTCGAGTGCATCTTTACCTCTTCATATCTAACCTAGCATTGGTATAATAAACTTTGGACGCAACACATTGATATCCTTGACTGTTAGAATCCAACTGATCAACATCTCAAACATCGATCATACTTCTGAAGATTGAATTCGAATTGCAATGGA